CCCTAACATCAGTGTCCAGTGAAGCAGGAAGTCAATGGGCGGGGTAAAAGGGTGTGCCACTGGCGCGAATCACGTGACAAGACCTGCCAAAAGGGGTGAACATGCCCAAAAAGGGGGCATGTTTGTCCAATGAATTGGAAGGTCAACCTGGCATGAATGCATGTCAGGCTGCCTGCCAATCCTGCAGGCTGTCCAACTAAGGGCATACTATGCAGGCAGCACCTTGAGCTTGACATAAATGCATCTAATGATGCGCTCACTCCATTCTTTCTAAGGACTGTCCCCTAGCACACGCTGGTCCACTTGTCTCCTTACCTTCTTACTAGCAGGCAGAATTTCCTGGTATATAATCTGAGACAGAGAAAAGGTGTCTGTAGTGAGTGTATAAGAAAGGGGACATACCACGGTGTTAGAGAGACCAACGTCTGCATTACCTAAACTAACTTTAATGTCAGCCAGTGCACGCAAGTTTTGGTCCCATACATCCCTCTTAAGCTTCCAAACTTAAAGGGACACTATAGTCACCAGAACAACTACAGCTTATTGTATTTGTTCTGGTAAGTAGAATCATTCCATTCAGGCTTTTTGCAGTAAACACTGTCTTTTCAGAGAAAATAACTCCACTGGCCGCTCCTTAGATGGCTGCTAGAGGTTCTTCCTGGGGCAGTACTGCCTAATGTGCAGCACTGCCATTCAGTGTCTCCACCCTCTGCATGCAGACACTGAACTTTCCTCATAGAGATGCATTGATTCAATTTATCTTTATGAGGAGATGCTAATTGGCCAGGGCTATGTTGGATTTGTGCTGGCTCTGCCTCTGATCTGCCTAGTTGACAGTCTCAGCCAATCCTATGGGGAAGTATTGTAATTTGCTCAGACCACCATTTCTGAGCCAGCAGCTGCAAAATTGAATACAAGTAATATTTTACTATATTTAGGGAGGCAAGAAGGGGCCAGGGTGGTGGTTTTAACATAATAGGATCAGAAATACATGATTGTGTTCCTGACCCTATAGTGCTCCTTTAAGCAAGAGTATGTGAAGAGTAGTTAAGGTTGCCACCTTCCTTGGAAAAAAATACCAGCCTTAATCATTTGTATAATTTATTAGTTATGCGTGACATCACATGATGTAAATCACAAGCAGTGACATCAGAGAAAATTCTGTAAAATCACCAACAAACTACTCACAGTTTGATTCTGCTGTATAGATGCATTGCTCCCAGTGTCTCCCTGTCTCGCAAGTCACCCAGTGTCTCAATGTCCCTATGTATCACAGTGTCAGTGTCCCCATGTCGCCCAGTCCCCTAGTCTCCCAGTGTCTGTGTCCCCATTTCTCCCAGTGTCCCAATGTCTCAGTGTGTCCCCATGTCACTAAGATACTGGGGACACTGAGAGACATGGGGACACTGAGAGACCCGGGGACACTGGGAGACATGGGGACACTGAGACAGTTAGGGAAACTGGGAGAAATGGGGACACTGAGACACTAGGGACACAGACACTGGGAGACATGGGGACACTGAAACATTTGGGGACACTAAGACACTAGGGACACAGACATGGGAACACAGACACTGAGAGTCTAGGGGACACTGGGAGACATAGTGTCTCTGTGTCCCAATGTCTCCCAATGTCCCTATGTCTCACAGCATCCCCATGTGTCTCAGCATCCCCATGTGTCCCAGTGTCCTCTAGTGTCTCAGTGCCCCGTGTCTCCAAGTGTCTGTGTCCCCAGATCTCCCAGTGTCTGTGTCCCCATGTGTCCTAGTGTCTCAGTGTCCCCTAGTGTCTGTGTCCCCATATGTCCCCAAGTGTCTCAGTGTCCCCTAGTGTCTTGGTGTCCCCATGTTTTCCAGTGTCCCCAAGTGTCTCAGTGTTCCCAGGTCTCCCAGTGTCTGTGTCCTAGTGTCTCAGTGTTCCCTAGTGTATGTGTCATCATGTGTCCCCTAGTGTCTCTGTGTCCCCATATGTCCCCTAGTGTCTCACTGTCCCCTTGTGTCCCCTAGTGTCTCAGTGTCCCCATGTGTCCCTGCTGCCTTTCCCCCCATCCCTCACTTACCTGAGCTGTAGAGCTGCTGTCTGGACTCTCTGTGCTGTATCAGTGATTAGTAGAGAGAGGCAGGGATATTCTGTAACTTCCTATCCCTGCCTCTCTCCACACACAGTGACCCCTAGTGGCCGGTGCTGGTATTGCAGAGTAATTTCCATTTATTCTGAGAAAATTACCTGCATTTGTATTGCCGGTATTACTGCAATACCGGCACGGCCAGGCAGCCTCAAATACCGTCTGTGCCATTAAAATACCAGTCAGGTGGCAAACCTAAGAGTAGTGTGTGTAAAAAAAAAAAAAAATGGGCCTATTCCATGGGCCTGGGCCTGGAGCTGCAGCTCCATCAGCCCCTATGTTAATCCGGCCCTGGCCATGAGGCCCCAGGAAGCACTCTTACCTCAAGGAGTTAAACTGTTCGAGAATGGTTTAACCCCAAAGTTGTTTCCAGCAGTGATGTCCACTCCCCCCCAATGCAGGTTCCAGGTTCTGAATTTTCAGATTCAGAAAGCATGGAGTATCGCCAGGCAGGGGCTCCACTGATTGGCTGAGAACAGTCAGCTGACTCCCCATTCACAAAACTGGCTTGGAAAGAAATGTACCTTTTACAGAGTAGAGTTTACTCCCTTGAGGTAAGAGTGCCTTCGGGGAACTCCTGGCACTACAATAACTTTCTATATGAAGTTGTTTTGGTACCTGGAGTGTCCCTTTAAGCAGGCCCAATACCTTTTCAAATATAAAGACTCATTTTAGGATTCAGCAAGCAACATTATCTGTCTAATGCCAGGACAAATGTACAGAATTGTATTGAGATACACTACTCAGTAATACTATCATATGGGCAATCTCTCGACAACCTATGTTGGCACTTCTGCAGGCAGTGTAGGCTACACCACCACATGGATGTGGAGTGGCCCTAAAGTTGTGCCATATTAGACTACACTGAAGGTACTTCTAATAAAATATATTATTTAGTTTTCTTTTTGAACTCAACCAATGGCCTTACATTCCCACTCGCTGGAGAGCCCTAATGCACACCACTTAAATTATTTAACACGATTGCGCTATCTGCAGACTACTAGCAGCCACATGGTTAAAAAATGCCCCACTGACTGTCATGCATGCTGGACAAAATCAAGGAAACCAAACTTATGGACATCCTCCCACTCAAAAAGTGTCTAGCTCCTCCACATAGAATCCCTCCTCTCCCTCACCCTTTTTTAACCTTAAATAATATTCTATATTTTGCACAAGTCCCGTATCTGACCTCTTCTCCATATTCTGTTTGTCATGCAAAATATGTCTAATCCTAAATAATGAAAAAAATATAGGCAGGGCTGAATTTTCAAGTTTGACTACCCCCTAAGGTATAAATACCATACCCTTATTGCTACCAATATAAAAACACATAGGATTTATTCACCAAATTGTGATACGTGGTCATTTAGCAACTAAAGGTCTAAAAGTCAGGAAAGGGTACAGGGAAGCAGCGCCTTCTCGGTGTCCTCAAACTCGTATGGTGATAAATATGGAAAATATGAGGACAAAAAACAGAATGTAGTGTAGTATATTCTAAATGTAATAAGGTAAAATAAGAAAAATGCCACTTACAATATTCTGGAGATTATGTTCATCTCCAGATATATGCGCCTGGGTGGTATGATCCCCGCCTGTGGATATGTTGCTCAGCTTGGTTCCTTGTAGATGGTAGGTCAGGTTTAAGCGTCAGCGTGTCGAGCGTTCACGGTATTTCCCTCCAGATTGCAGTGTCACAGATATTCACCAAGTACATAAAATGAGAATAAAAACAAAAATAGTGCTCTCTGTTTTGTTGTTATAAAAGCAAAAATAAAAGGAGGTATACTCACAAAAAGAGAGCAAAAATTTGTTGTTTTTTTCTCAATCTTGTGTATAGGTATAGGTGGTTTCCTACCCACCAAGGAGGCAGAAACTGTGGCTCCTCCAGTTAAAATCTTCAGGGATAAAATCAGGAAGGTCCAGGTAAGGTAAAAAACTAGTTTTATTTAAAATAAAGATAATAAAACCAATAGCATAAAAACACTAAACATTTCACCCAAGGGGGGCTTTTTTTTTTTTTTTTGTCCCAAAGTGTTACAGTACATGAGGACCTGTCCTGTTTAAATAGCCTCCACAATTAAGAATGAGGGAGTCAAGTGATGTCACAGGTCATGTGACTTACAGGTAGTCAGCTATAAACAATTTTACAATTTTAAAATACAAGGTACTATAAAGCAGTGAATGAGATTATGACATTGCAGTTGTGCAGTTAGAAAATTAATACATTTTAAAGTAACATAAATAAAAAAAAAAAGGAATTGGGGGGGGGGGAGGGGATAGTGTGTTTATAAAGGTACACCAAGATGGCTGCCAAAGCGGGACCATATGGTGCACCAATATGGCTGCCATCAGTCAAAAGACAGTGGTCGCCACGGCTGGAATATTAAAAACTTCAGCTCATGGGTGAGGAGGGAGCCCTGAATTGTGAGGAAGAGGGTTTATACGAAAACCACTGTAAACTAGCGTTTTTGTGGCTGCAAGAGCACTCCAAAGGAGGTGTACCAAAATGGCTGCTGATCACATGACATTGGCTGTGTTGTCATGGAGATGGGGTGGGGCTATCCTAGCTCAAAGCAGTTGGCAAAACTACTAGAGGGTGGGGTGAGAAAAAAATAAAAAGGAGCAACCTGCTGGGGAAAGGACAAATGGAGCATGGGAAATTCAGTAGGGGAAGGAAATTGTGGTAGTTAGTAAAAAGTATATAAGATTAAAAAAAAAAAAAACTAATGGAAAGATAAAAGAGTAAAAATATTAAAGGTAGTGTGGACCTTAATATAAGAGGGGAGTATAGCAAAATAAATATAGCACTATAAGTAAAACTGACATGTCTGTGTAGAGATGTCGCGAACCGTCCGCGAACTTCTCGTGGCGAACTCCGGTCAGCTGACACGTCCCGGCCAATCTCCAGCAGACCCTCCCTCCCAGACCCTCCTGGATGCTGTCCAGGAAGTAGGAGGGTCTGGGAGGGAGGGTCTGCTGGAGACTGGCCGGGACGTGTCAGCTGACCGGAGTTCACCGCGAACAGCTCGTGACATCTCTAGTCTGTGGGTGATAAAATAGATAGAAAGAAAAAAATGTAAAAGGTATAAAAAGATATAAGCAAAGACAATAAAATGCATTGGTAAATAAAGGCAATGATGACCTAAAAGATGAGATATGCATAAAAAAAACATTACAAAAGCACACAGTAAAAAGGCAAAGAACATAAATACATTTAAAGGCTTGTATATTATAAAAAGTTAAAAAGGTCAAAATCTGCATTTAACCCATAAGTTGCCAAAGTGTTTAACTTAAAAACCCAACTCATCTCTTTTCTTCTTAAAATTTTGGGGAGGTATCCACCCCGCCAAGAAGCCTTTCGAAATGTTGCGGCAGTGTTCGGCAATCCGGGTTTTTAAGCACCTTGCTGTCATACCAACATATTGAAGTTTACATTCTAATAAGTAGATAACATTCTTTGAGTGGCATACAATGAAACCCGTTACTTAAACATCCTTCACCACCACCTGTAATTAACCTAGGCAATGACCTACACATAAACATATAAACCACAATATGACAGTACTTAATTACATAACACATAACACACCAACCAAGTGGCATTCTTTCCAATATATGACCAACCGTAGGGGTATACCGTGACACCCCTACACCCCCAGGTTTGGAGCCACCAACGAGCTCAAACCTACCAAACCACTGTAACCCACGTGAATATTTTCCACTCAACCTAACCCTGCACGTTAATAAATTCACTTTACCCTGCCACAGCTCAGGTCTTGACTACCTCAAGCCACCTGAGTGCCCCCATGCAGCAGAAATAAGGCCTTGCTGATGCCCTCCTGGAACCTAAGATTAAGTATGTCATAACCAACATCTGAGAGATGCACTCCATCCGACCTATAATAGCCTGGCAGCATTCCCTCTAGTTCCCTATGTCTCACCACTACTCCTCCCGTCCACCGTATGAAAGCTGACGTTGTCTTGCTGACATTGTCTTGTTGACCGTTCCCCTACAACGCGCCACCGCAGCAAGTTCTCTAGCATGCCTACAACAAAGCAGAGGAACCATCTCGGACCACACCACAACCACGTCAGGAACCATTTCCCTGATCAGGTCCACATCCCTCTTTATAGGCCTCACTAATTCCCGTTGGGAAATAAGGCCCAAATCGTTCCTGCCGGCATGTATTACTGTAATGTGGGGGGGGTCGACCCTCCCCCAAGCATTTATAAATTTCTTTGCTCACGTCTGACCAGTTGTAACCCTGAAAACCCATCCAACACAATGAAATCACATAACGGGCGAAACCCAGCTGCATTCCCTGCTTCCGAACAGCTGCTCTCCTGCTTGCCTAATAGATGACGGAGTGGCCGATCAACCATGCTACCTGTAAAGAGAACAAGAAACATGACCATTGTGATACAACCCCCCCTTCCCCTTTCCCCAAATTCCTTTAACAAATCAGCTGAGGACAAATTAAATCTTATTGATTCTCATTGTCCCATATGTTTTATTAACTCCTCCTCAAGCCCTAGGCGATATTCTTCTGTTGCAGCCCCAATCCGGAAGGAGTGGGTCCCAAACGCTAAGGGGTTCATACCCAAACTCGGTAAACCCAATCTAAAGACTCGAATAAACTGAGCGTGCGACAGAGAAGATTCATTCTTGTGAACCATAATGAACCCGCAACATCAGAGCGATCCATCATAAATGCAGTGGCGCAAGATAACGGGCATAAGGCACCCCTTTCGGAACATGTCCGTTTTAGACCATCTCGACATCTGCTAACTGAGCCCCCCTGCAATTTTACAACTCCGGCTAACCAGCTCTCCAACCCTAAATGCCTCGAAAAAGGCCCACATGAAAGCCACCGTGGACAGCACCACTTCAAAAAGCGTATAACAAACTGTACAACTTCGCTGCAGAACTTCAAAAGTTACCGGACGTCTCTTATCTACTGAAATCTTACCCTTCCAAAAACCTATGAGTGCCTGCCTACTGACGAACTGTTTCGTCAGATCTTCCAAGCGGTTTAATTTAAAAAGAAATGCCAACCACTGATGGCGACTCTGTTCTGCAAACAGACAACACAAAAACCACAAGTCTAATTGGCCCTCCCTGGAATGCTGCCCCCAGTGCACCCTACAACCTCATCCCATGCTCTCCACATTGACGTAAGATGACCACGTTCCTGGCGCTAATGATTGACGTATTAGCCCTCCAGACAAGACGCCGAGCAGCCACATCTCCGCCGTACATTCCTGACCTTTTTTCGCGCACCTGGAGCCGCCAACCAGAAACGCCCCCAATGTGAACGAGACAAAGCATCAGCCACCACGTTTTGATAACCAGATACGTAACGTGCACCACGGGAACAGAGCAAGCCAACAAATTGTTAACAGCATGAACTACATTATCCTTTTATTTCTCAGTTCATTGCCCCATAATGACAAGGCAACCACCAACAGGAACAACTTGAGAAAAGCTAGGTTATCCATCACCGCTTTCCTTAGCCATTCTTAGGGGCACTGTGCCGCGCACCACTGTCCTGCGAAATACGCGCCAAACCCCCAGCTGACTGAAGCATCCGTGAACAACTCGAGATCAACAGCGGAGTCCAAGGGACCTCGAAAGAAACCCGCCCGTGCCCTAGAAACATCTCCCAAATCATCCTTCATAGACCCGGAGACGCGAACATAATGGTGGGGGCAGGAAATACCACTTGTGGCTTTCGCCAAAAATTGATTGAAAACCCTCCCTATTGGGATATGCAAAATTAAGGCTTCCTAACAGCGACTGCAATTCCTGCAGCGTCACTTTCTGCAAGCTCCGAACCGACCCTACTTTTGAACGGGGGGTGGCTAGGAGAAAGCGACACTCACCAGCCAACGAATCAATTTCGAAACCTAAGAAACTGGGGCAAGTCGTTGGACCAACCGTCTTTTCAGCTGCCACAGGTAACCCAAATAATTGAGTCACCTACTCCAAGGAACGGGGTATGTAACTGCATGTCCCCAATCCCACGGGCCCAATGCACATAAAAAATCGTCTAAGCAGTTAACCACATAACCCCCGTCTGTCTCCTTCCTAACTAGCCATTCCAGGAAGGTACAGAATTTTAAGTATGCGCAAGATATGGAACATCCCATGGGCAGACAAAGATCCACGTAGTATGCACCATTGAAAAACCAGCCCAGGAGATGATGACAGTCCGGTTGGACTGGCCTCACCAACTCTACCACATGGTCGAATGATGCATAGGAAACCGAACAAAGCTCTGCGCCGATGTCATCATTGACCAAATAGCCTTTAGGGTACGACAAGTGGTGGATCAGCCTAAATGTACCCTCCTCTTTCTTGGGGGCAACCCCTAGTGGTGAAATCCTTAGGTTACCGAGAGGAGGTACCCCAAATGGCCCCACCATCCTCCCCAGCTGTACCTCCTTAAATAACTTTTCCCGCACTACCCCCAGGTACTGAATGACCGACTTCTAATTATGAATTTTTGGTTTATCTGGTAAAATCTCCTTCAAAATGTCATCCTCTTTTAAAATATCCCAATGGTTTTAAAAAAAATAAAAATAAATAAATAAAAATATTTTAAAACTTTTATTGGTGAAATTTAAAACAATAGGCAGAATGAAAGGTTTACTTTGATCCGAATTTTTATATTTTAACAGTTGGTTTTTGTCTGATTGATTGATTTCTGTGATGAGGGGTCTATGTCTTTAACATTGTAGTTTTTCTCCACCATTTTTTCTTTCATTTTGAGAGCTTGTTCTTTGAAGATGTCAGTGTCTGTACAATTGTGTCTAATTCTGGACAGCTGGCTTTTTGGGATGCTTTTAAGCCAGGGAGGGTTGTGGCAGCTAGTGGAGTATATAAATGTATTACTGTGGACTTTTTTGAAGAATGTTTTTGTGTGTAGTTGGTTATTTATTATGTAAATTTCTATATCCAGAAATTGGACTTTGGTGATGCTTATCTCTGTGTTTAGCTTAATGCCACTATTATTATCATTTAAAAACATTCAAAATTCCTTAAGACTATTTTCTGTGCCCTCCCAGATAAAAACAGATCATCAATATAGCTCCGATATAAAACTAGACAGATTTCCATTTGCAGTATACCTAGTTACTGCCAGATAGAAGAGACTCTGTTTTGGGAAGTACCAGCTGCCATACCCACACATAACAACCACTAGGAACCTCACCATCGGACGTATTTAAAAGGTCTAAAAGTGCCTTGTTATGTACCTTTTTATATTGTTTTTTTTTCCCCAAACATTTTTACAACTTTTTTCTCAAACCAAATACATCCCCACATATTGTGACAGTAGATAAGAATCAATTGCAATATCTTTTTTGCCCATTTCAAAGCTCCATATTAGTTTTTCACCTATCCAGTCATTCAACACTAAACAGGGATCATTTTGTTTGGGGGGGTGGGGGGGGGACGGACGACGACTTCATAGCCAGTTGGAAACTATTTATGTAATTATGTGTTTCCAAAAAAGAATATAGTATTCTAAATTTAAACAAACTGATTTATAAACATATACTGAAATCAAAATGCATCTGGGGTTTATTCAGGAAACTGGAAATTGTAAAGAACTGGAAACCCATGTCTCAAATTGCCAAAACCTGTAAATTATGATTATTTATATAGAGCCAACATATTCCACAGTACTGTACAAAAGGTAAAACAAGAAAAAAAAAAAAAAAGAATTCTAACAAAACATGTTTAAACACAAGGAAACAGTAGGTGAAGAGAGCCCTGCCCAAACAAGCTTACAATCTAAAAGCATGATGGACAAATACACAGTGGGAAGTGAGGAATTAATACACAGTGGGAAGTGAGGAATTAATACACAGAGGGAAGTACGGGAATAAAACATTCTCCAACCAAGTCTCTTTTCCAGCCTGGTTATTTTGGCCTCCAATTTGCAATTCCATTGACAATTTTCTACAATTCCAGGTTTAGTTACAAAAAAAGAATTAGTTTAATTGCAATCAT